AAAGGGCCATGACACCCCCCACTTTCGGTTCAGGTTCACCTCAGATTTTTACATTTACATATAAATTTAGCAATTTAGCACAGTGGTCCCCAGCTTTTTTTTCACCGTGGACCAGTCTACGGTTGTCTACGGTTGAACACAGCTATTGCGCTAGTGCATCCAGGTAAATCATGAACAATCCAGTGCGTATGTGCTAGTTGCACTATCGCGGTCTGATTATGTTTTAATCTGTGCCAAACATCTTAACTGACGAACATATTAACAATAATACAACCACATAGCGGAATTAAATGTATGCATTGGCATGTTACAGCCCTAATGATTATGATTATGTGAAACTCCATATAGATACATATTGCAATGATTTCAGGTACTTACTTAGCGATGCACGCACACATATATGCACAATCCTTAAATTCTCTGCTGACTTGGACTATATAATACCTGTTTTATAACTTTAAACTATCAACAACCACCACTGAGCTATATTCTATCGTTTCTTCCCACTCCGTGGTGGATTTTGGCATAGTCCATTTCATGTGAGATGACGGGGGTGAGTGGAAAAAACCAAGTCGTGGGGGGAATATTTTCAACAGAAATAATTTATGATATCTAATGTGGCCCGGTACCAATTGTTCCACAGACCGGTACCGGTCCGCGGCCCGGTGGTTGGGGACCAGTGATTTAGCAGACGCTTTTATCCAAAGCGTCTTACAAATGAGGACAAGGAAGCAATTTACAAAACTATAAGAGCAACAATGAATAAGTGCTGTAGGCAAGTTTCAGGTATGTAAAGTATAAGAAGCAAAACATTAGTAATTTTCTATTTTTTTTTTTTGTAATAGAGTTAGCGGTAGAACCAGAGAAGCAATTGCAGATTAGGAAGGGAAGTGGAGACTTTTTCAAAACATGCATCATAGTGGGCGTGGAGCTCCGCGAGCAAAGGGCAAGAGTGGGTGTGGCCAGCAGAGCAGGGGAGAAGAAGGGGAGCGAACAACTGTTGTCAGTCGGTTCCCAAAATGAGGAGACCCATGATTTTATAGTTTACAAAAAGTTACAATGCAAAGAAATAAAAAGTAATTTAATGCCCTGCTACATTTGTAATTTCATATACACATAAATACAATTTATATAATTATAAAGATAATCGTGTTCATATAAACACTAAATGAGGACTTTTCCCTCAATCCCCGGGTCTGAATTATAGATCTGAATGCATACTCAGTGCAGCAGGTGTCTGCCCTGTCTATTTTAACCATTAGCCCTGCTGGTAATCTTGAGGATTTAGGCGAAGATAGCAGCACGGCGATGTGTCTAAATGTGGACGAACTCCGGATAAAAGAAAACGTCCGCTATTCTCCAATTCTTGTACTGCTCTCCCGACATAAAATGCTTGCAGCACACACACAACTTTGCAGTATCGGCCCTGACAGGATCATGGGGAAAACATTCAACAAACCCCGTGGATCATGAAAACAAACACATACGACCCTTCATGAACGGCTAAATACTCCATGCCGTGGGTCCGCGGACGCGTCTCACACAGTCATCAACGTAGGATTTCACAGCTGAGCTGAGATTAGCACTGGCAGCCAGGTCTGCTTTGTCTTCGGAAAGCACGTGCTCTCATGAATAATTAAGAAGCCGGCTCCTCTCATAGGATAAGAAAACTCTGCTATGAATAATGAGAAATATAATGAGAATAATGAGAAACCGACGCGTCATCTTTGCACTTGCAGTTCTTCCCTACGTTGCCGATTTTGATCGCGCCCCAAAAATCATTTTAAACCCGGAAGCTGAAATTAGCTGAAAAAAACTAACAGGTGCTAACATTGTCTTAACTGATGCTCAACACACAAAAGTCTGTTAAAATCTCAAAAAAAGTATGCAAAGGTTTTGTGAACTTTTAAAGGACCTGCTGAGATCATTTCAGTAATCGTCTTGTTAACTCGGGTGACAATGTTGACAAGCAAAAGGCTGGAGATCACTAAGTCAGGCTGATTGGGTTAGAATGGCGGACTTGACTGTTAAAAGGAGGTTTATGCTTGAAATCATTGTTCTTTCATTGTTAACCATCGTGACCTGCAAAGAAACGTGTGCAGCTATTATCTGTTGCCAGCTGCTAGCTTTCTGCAACTCTTACATGGTCGCCCACTGAAGCTAAGCAGGGCTGCGCCCAGGCAGTACCTGGTTGGGAGACCACATGGGAAAGCTAGGTTGCTGCCGGAAGTGCAGTTAGTGAGGCCTGCAGGGGGCGCTCAACCTGCGGTCTGTGTGGGTCCTAATGCCCCAGTATAGTGACGGGGACGCTATACTGCTCAGTGAGCGTCGTCTTTTGGATGACACATTAAACCGAGGTCCTGACTCTCTGTCGTCGTTAAAATCCCCGGATGTCCTTTGAAAAAGAGTAGGGGGTTTCACCCCGGCATCCTGGCCAAATCTGCCCACTGGCCTCTGTATATCATGGCATCCTAACCTTAAACATATCATAATTGGCTTCAGCACTCTGTCTCCTCTCCACCAATGAGCTGGTGTGTGGTGTGTGGTCTGGCGCAAAATGGCTGCCGTCGCGTCTCCCAGGTGGATGCTGCACACTGGTGGTGTATGAGGAGGTCCCCCCCCATTGTGTAAAGCACAACAAGATTTTGGAAGATTTTTTTTTATAAGATATATACATGTTAAAAATGCAAGCATTTTTAAATAAGTATTTTTATAGGAATGCATAGTAGTAAAAAACGACACCCTTATTCATATGACAAAACCCAAAACAATGATAAACAGAAGGTGTAACGATATCATAATTTTACACCTGGGAATGTAAATGACTGATGACTCACGGAACATTTTTCACTGCCGCTCTTCTTTGTTTTTAATTAATTACTAGAAATGAAACGTCAGATCAATTCAACCTGCTGAAATGAAACCACCGTCCCAAAGGAATGCAGTATAGGTGAGAGGAAAATTAAATAAAAGAAGTTTGATTACTGCGCCTCACAAGGTGAACTCGAAAACAATCCAGCTCCAAAAACAGAGAAAAAAAACAAGAGAAAAACTGTATTCTGAAAACAACGATGCTATTTAAAGGGGCCATTAACTGAGAAATAAAAATTCCCCTGATCTTTTGGCATATTGGAAGTCACTGCCTTATAAAAACATTCAGTAAATTTCAGAACTTAAACATTTTTCAAGTCTAAATACAGCTTCTACTAAATTCAATCTGCCTAAACAACAGGTTGTGAAATTAGTCGTTTTATTAGGTAAAAGTTTTTAAACCTGCCTCCACAAAAGTTAACACGACCATTACAATGATAAATGAGAGTAGTACAAACGAAATTGGGACGTACTACATGAACTATTTGTCATTACCACATGACCTACCAGGGATGTATAAACTACTAGAGACCCAGACTTAAGTAAAAGTAAAGGTGCTCTATAAAACAGTGACCTGAGTAGGAGTTGAAGTGCTCTTCAACTAAGCAACATATTAAAGTACTTTACATTTTTTGTACTTAAGTTTTGCAAGTAGTTTATTTAAAAATGTACTTCTCAAATACGGAAAGTAAAAGTACAAGTATTGTGTAATGTAGTTATTAAATAAGCATTCACAAGACATCATGTTGGTTTGTTTATTTTAAATAGCTTTTTTTGGGGCACGTGATTAAGCAGAACGAAAAGAAACATGGCTTACGATACAGTTCTTTTCTCGCGCTTGAACCACAGGTCTAACAGATTATAACAGCTTTAACACACACCTTTCAAAGTTTTGTGTCACAAAAACACTCCGTAATCCACTCAAAACTCTATTAAAAGTTTCGGATGGCAAATTACCGGTTGTAAACGCTATGGCGCCCTCCATGCAGCAGCCAAGAAAAAGGTCTAAAATTGCAACAAGTAGGAGTGTGAATCTACATGGTCTCACAGTTTGGTTCGGTTATGATTATCATGCCATCGACTCGATTCATTCGATATCGGTGCATTGACGATGCTTCCCATACATAATTAGATTTTTTTTTTTCTTAGCAGAACAAGAATTTTTTTAAATTAAAATCATTAAATATATTTATATATTATTTGTAATACAATTTTGTTCTTTAATACAGATATTTGAGCTGTACCCTTAATTTGATCCACTCAAAGAAAACACTCTTTCTGAATGTATCAAACAAATCTCCAACACATGCACAGAAGACAGCATGAGCATTAACCGCAAATAAACTAATGTCAATATTCTCCCGCTTGCTTTTTGAGCGCTGACAGGCACCCTAATGATTGATTATTGTCTTCATCTGCTCAACAGAAAGGGCTGTGATTGGCTTTAGAAATGAAAACACTATTCCCCGATGGCGGGAAGAACAGTCGCGGTTACAGTCTGTATATGCATAATACGCGGTTATCACAGGTAATCCATAATAGACACAATAAACTTGCACCTCAGGCACGCTCGTGTCAGGATCCACAAGTATCGCTTTAACAGCCAAAAGGAGAGAAAAGTTAACTCACAAACAGGCTAGCAAAGCGGGTCAAAATGTCCAAAGTTAGAGAGAGAGGTAAAGATGGAGTTTCACAGCATTCTTACGTAGTCGTGAAATAGCGGCTCATGTGCTTCATTGTAGTAAGAGCGTTATTTACTCACCCTCGCCTCCTTATAGTATTGGGACATCGCGCTTGGGAGATAAATGACATCATAATAAACGTAATAACGTCAAAATGTAAATACGAAATAACCGGTTATGATTTATCACTGAGCCAATATCAATAATTTTGACACCCCTAGTAACGAGTTACATAAGATACATAAAAAAATGTATTGGAGTAAAAGTATTAAACTCATCGAAAATATTACTGAAGTAAAATGTGGAAAAAACAATACTCCAGTAGAGTGCAGATACAGCCTTTTAGTACTTAAGTACAGTAGTGGGGTAGATCTGCTTCGTTACTATACATCTCTGTGACCTATACATGTATTTTGCATTGCTTCACTTAATGTTAATGCTGCTTACCTTGCCCTTGTCGAAGTAGTTGATGATCTCCTGGTAGAGCTGGTCTTTGAGTTGACCCTGAGTGCTGGCCTGATATCCGTCTCTCTGCGTCAGGTGAGCAGCACAGGCCTCTTCTGACCACTGACAAAACAACAAGTCACGTTAATCCAACACTTCACTCTCAGAGCTAACCTGAGTCTACTACATGCAGAAAAAACACACTTCAACAGGTCAGCGGGAAGCTTTAAAGTGGCTGCATAATCACCTTTTCCTTCATGTGGTGAAATAAGGTCTATTATACAGCAGGATGACAACATAATGTACATCTACACTTCCCACGCATAGAGACCAATGCAGCAAAACGTACATTTACTGAAGTTTAAATTCATTAACAAACGCCTACGTTTATATGTTAATGACAGCTATTCAGCGCATGAAAATACTATTCGCTCACAATGAGGTAATAAGAGGAAAGAGGACATTCAAGGTAAGATTCCAGATGACTTTAAGCTGATGTGAAGAGTCTCAATGATGCATTTCAGAGCATTTTATGGACCACATTTAAGCAAACGAAACATGATACTAATTATTAGACACAAATA